AAAATAAAACCATGATTACACCCGGTTCAATAAAAAACACATTAGCAATAACACATAGTATTAATTAAAACTTAAAAAATATGAAACCCTAAAATTGAGAGTGACATTAGGAAATAAAATTTTGAATTCCTTATAACAATACAAGTACACGTACACAATCAATGAACATGGAGACATTAATTTCTATCCTTTAGTTTATACTTTTTCCTTTCTATAAATAATAAAATAATGAATTCCAAATGAAAATGTCGTTTTTGCCCTTTGTTAATGATTTTCACTCTGGGACCTTAAAGGTTTCAATGTCTTCGTCCTGGATCCAACCATATTTCTCCATGAATGGGTTAATTAGGGTTTGTGGTGGGTAGTCCTCAATGTTACACTCTTTCCACACATTTCCTTCTCCTTCCAGATCTCGTACAACTTCCCACAAGCAGCTATTGCATTTAAAACCTGCACCAAAGCTTATCATGAACAATCTATCACCTTTCTTTAGCCTTTTCTTAGCCTCCATGTACCCTAAAACATACCAAACACTGCTCGCTGATGTGTTTCCGAAACGGTGTAGGGTCATCCGCGCTGGCTCGACGTCGTATTCACTCAGATCAAGATTCTGAGCGACTGTGTCGATCACTGCTTTCCCGCCGGTGTGAAGACAGAAGTGGTCCACTCCGGCTTTGAAGTTGATCACCGGTCGACTTGACCCCGATGACTTTCCTTTCCCTTTGCTGAGAATTTTTAGGGTTACAGAGAGGATACCAAACCGGAGAAGCTCCCGGATCGGTAGTATCTTCGGAGCGATTACTTTCAAATTGTCCACGAATGCTCGAGTTGCAGCTTTTGGTAGAGATTTACCTAGATGAAAACCGACCCGACCCTGATCATCTTCGGTTTCTATGCAACATCCGTAGGATTCGTCTTTCGCGCCATGGTGGGTTCGGACTAGGCAGTTTAACTTCAGCATGCATTTGTGAGATAAACTTGGGTTGTTTGTTAGAATCATCGCACACCCACCTGTTCTAAACAAACAGTTTGAAAGTATCATGGATTTATCATTACCCGTATACCAATTTGGTGTTAAAGATTCTGATGTCACCACCATAGCCAACTGATTTTTCTTCGATTTGAAGATACTTTCAACAAGATTTAAAGAAACCAGACTCGCACTACATCCCATTCCACACAAGTTGTAGGTTTTGACATCGTCCCTCATCTTGTACATGTTTACGATTCGACTTGACAACGAAGGCATGCAAGCCAACATCGAGATGTTGACCACCAAAATGTCAATCTCCGAAGGGGAAATCCCAGTTCGCTTGAGAAGTCTTCCGATGGTGTACTCAAAAAGCTCTTCCATCTCCACAATGGCATCTTGGTAAGTAGGGTTTTCTTCACGCCCTTCAAACACCATTTTTGGAGCATAGGTTTCTTCACCGATGCCGGAGCTCACTATCGCTTTCAGAAGAAACTTGTACTCATTTAGACCAAGATTCTTGGCCCGTTTAATGACATCACCACAGAACTCCGTTGGCAGTTTCCGGTCGTCGGAGGGTTTGTACAATTGGTAATCCAACAAGTAACATTTCTGATGCTTTTTTCGCTCAAGAAAGCTGTGTAGAATGTAGAGAATGTATAAGAGAGGAAGGAAAGATAAAATGGTGAGAAAAAACAACATCTTTAGGGAGAGAGAAGAGGGTTGAAGGGTGTTTAAGATGTAAGTTTAGGTTGTCTTTGATGTGAATTTTGAAATCCAAATTTGGATTTGTATAAAAAGGGAGTGTACAGCTTGTATGCCCGACTAATATTCTTCAGAAACATGTCTATCACTCAACTTCCACCAACTAATAATTACGCATTCAACTAATAATAACGCATTAGTGGCTTTTTTTCTAGAACAAAGCCTTTGACTTTTATACTATTTTGACTGTTAATTATTGTGCAACTTCTCTATCCGAAAACTGATCAATCTGTAGGATTCTTTAGCGTGATGCACTGCAGAGTAATCTTTTGATGAACAAATGGTGTTTATATTACACACAAATGCTTCCAAAGAGATGGGCAGGTGAATTTTGATGTTTGTAATTAATATGGAGACTGTAAAAGACACATGATTCATGGCTAGTCAAACTTTGGTCCATGGAATGATTTCGCAACATTAAGTATGCGAGAGAAGCAGGAAACGAATATTGTTCTGACCCTTTCAGATCATTGACTTTATAATATATATAACTATTAAGAATCATAATTAGATTCACTTTATTGGTTAAAAACTAGTAAAACTGTGTACGTTGGTAGTACTTGATCGACAACAAAGAGCAAAACCTTATTTATGTGTTTTTGGGATTTTTTGGATATTCTTACGGAAGTCTCATGTTTTTCTTTTAATTTCTTAAAACAACTTCTTACTTTGTCGTATTTATTCAAACCACAAAGAAGGAAATCGCACTATATCTCTTTTTTAAGCAAATGTAATATATTGTACCTATTTTAAAGATCATAAACAAGAGAGACAAAGAATACTATCATGTTTGATTTGTGTCTTATATATAAACAGTTATAACTTGTAGTTAATGGTTGTTTAGCTAACATGGTCAATATAAAAATGTATAGTTTATGGTTTATGGTTTTTAATAGTATAAAGGCTTCAAATTGCCATGGTGTGTTTTGCCATAATAACCAATTTTAACATACGATGATTATTACCGACATGCATTTTATCATGTATGGAAACGCAACTCGGCAAGACAAGAAGATAGAACAACAATGTATCGTTATAATTGTTTAAATCCAATTGATATATCATATGTATAGACCGTTGTATTTAATAATGAGCAAGGAAGTAGATGAACCTTATAAAGGGAATTAATACAAAAGAGGTGGCGGAAGGGAGACTATAATAAATATGCCAATGAATGATTGAAATTTCTTAATTTGCATGAACCACCAAGCTAGTGTACAAAACTGAATTTTCTTTGAATCGAATCAGATTTTCCTTACAAAGATCAAAGTTTTAAGATAATTTACCGAATAATATTTAGATCAAATATTATATTTAGATTTTTTTTTTAGATCAGAATTTTGAAATTATTATGATATTATATTTAGACAAAATTGTATAAATGGTCTTTACGGTTTCAAAAAATCTCAATTTCAGTCCAACTTTGTTTTTCGTTAGTGGTCCTTATAATTTCAAAACCTTGCACGTTTTGTCACTTCGACTAACTTTGTTTGCTTTTTGTTGTTAGGCCAACCCAGGTGCCCTTCGCACAAGGGTAATTTTTTTTTTCTCTTTATTTAGGTTCACTAACGTTCATTTCCACCCCTTTCGTCACCTTTATATTCCTTCACCCTTCTTCCCCATTTACATCTCATGAAGGACTTTTCTCCAAAGAGTCCGACTGCATGTTAATCAATACTTGCACATCATTTTGTTCTTGAATGCATGTGTGACCAACAATAAAAGCTGCTTTTTCATGAGCTTCCCCTAATTAAGGAGCATGTTTTTGGGTTGTTTGGGTCTTTCAGCATCCTTTTTCTTAAGTTATGTGTAAATCCATCTGACTCAAACACTTCATTGTCTAACACCTCCAAATAATCATCTTATATCTCATCATCTTCATGGACTAGTGCCTAGTTTGTTGATCCAGTACTTGCAACTCAATATCAAGTTCCGTTACTAGATTTTGATCGCAAACTTCAAAACGTGTTTGTAAAAAAAATTATAGAAAAGATGTAATAGAAGTTGTACAAATTTTAAAAATAATAATAATTATGTTTTAAAAACACAAAACATAAAGTGGGAAATGTTTTGTAAAAAAATATGTGGACGATATTATAAAAAAAATTGAAAATAAAAGAAGTAAATGAAGTTGTGATAGTTTCATTTTATTTGCTTATTTTTATAATTTATTTTAGCATATTGTATTCTATTATTAGTTAATCTTTATGCATGTTTCTCCTTTGTGTTATTTTATATCTATATCGGGTACTTTCAAATTTTTGAGCTTTATTATAGATATTTGATGAAATAGAGCGAAGCATGGAAGGAGATACGGAAGACTAACGAAGTTCGAGCGAGTGAGCGGGATTGTTAGAGGTTATTAAAAAGAGTTAGATTGAAGATTGATGTCATTGGAACTTAGTTTGAATATTTTATAGAAGAAACTTGAGCCTTGGATGATTGGAAGATGAAGATTTATGGATTCATTACTAGAAAAATGGGTGGTTACCTACAAGGAATATTGTTGGTATTTTGTAGGAAATAAAGTTTAGCTACAAAGTTCCTACGAAAACTGGTTGTTGGAAAAAGGGCCATGGGAAATAAGATTCCTACAAACTTCCAACAAAAAGTGTGACACATTTCCTACAAAATATTTCATAGGAAACTCCAACAAATTTCCAACAAAGTTTCCCTAGCCCCTGTCAGCTTTTTTCCATGAGAATTCCTACAAATCTTATTTCCAACAGAATCGCTACAAACTTTTCCCACAAATTTCCAACAAACTTCCTTTTTAGAAAAAATAAATTCGATGTTTTTTTTTGTAGGTATTATGTTGCAGTTTTTTTTTTTTTTTTTTTTAAAAAATACTATAAATTAACAATATTAATGAAATTATAAATAATGCCATTTCTACATAAATTATATAATGAACTATAAATAAAATACAAATTCTTCAAATATACACTTTAAACACAATAATAACAAACACAAATAATTCAATATAAATCCAAAATGGTAACTAATATTCAATACTTCAAACATAATAGTAATTACTAAATATCCACAAAACCAATACTTCATCTGGATGATAGTTACCATCTACTACTTCACCAAAACAATTACATTGTTGTACATCACCAACATGCTTAATAGAATATTCCAAACAAAACTAACATCAGTCTTCAGGAGGGTTACCAAATCGTCTCATTAGTTGAGCCAATTGTTGTTCCATCATTTCTTGTTTTTGTTGCATCAAAACTTTTTCCCTCTCCACATCTTCAAGTTAGGTTCGTAGCTCCTTAACCTAAAAACAAACATATGATTAGCAAACAAACAATATATCAACATTCTTTATCCATTATAGAAACATACCAAAAATGTATTTCATAATAGCAATGTACTTTAATTTGCTACCAATATAGGTCTTTTACTTATTTTTTATCCATAATAGCAACACACTTTATTTTAACAAAATTCTAACAACAAATTATTTATTTATGGGTTGTTTTCATTCATAATAGTAACGTACTTTATAATAACAACATACTTCATAATAACAAGATACTTTATTTTTCATTCATAATTGCAACATAATACTCTGTTTAAGTTTCTTGGTTGTTTTGAAATAAATATATTAGGGACTGTTTTCATGTCTCACAAAGTGTTTAATTATAGTAATGTACTTTCTTTATCTATAATATAAACAATATATTTATTAAGGAAATATACCTCCTGTTGAGACCGGCAATAGGACGACAAACACCCCGCACCAACAGATGAATTCCCATTGAACAAAGAGTTTATATCCGAAGATCCAACTCCATAGATATAACTACTCCTCGAAGCACCACCTATCTCCCTTTGGGTTTTAGCCCACAATTCAGAATCATCAATCGGGTGATCAACCAAATCATCCCCATACTTCTCAAGCAAGGCTCGAGAGTACGCTTCCTACAAGGAAATAAAACACAACTATTATTGTAATAAAAGTTAGGACAAAAAATCAAAAAAAAAAAGATAAAGATATCTTACATAAGTTTCCCTTGCTCTCTCAGTGCAAAACTGATTTCCCTCAACATCTCCATCAAAATATTTCTTCTTTGATGTTTTATCTAGATGAGTGATCAAGAACAACTCCAAAAATGTGGGTGGTCGTCCCTTTTTTGCTATCGACAAGTATAAACGATGTAATTTATGTTAAACGAAGAAGATATTACTAAAATTTATTTGATATGAATACTTACGAATCTAATGCGGTGCTCATCATAACTAATACTACCCCCAGTATGTCTTGCTATTTTCCCACCACTATCAGTGGTATTGCGGTTACTCTTCCTGCTTGCAGATCTTTTCAGCCACACATCCGTGTTCCATTCCTTTAAAGAGTAGTATATGTATAATAATATGAAAAGAAATAAACAATTAAAAAAAGTATTATCATGCTTACCCTACACAAATCCTTCCACCTCTGAGATTGCATCCCATTGGCTACAAAATTCTGCATGATATCATAGTCTTTATCATCCGGTGAGATATCATGTCCAGCAGCTCTAGCCATATTTGTTGATCTATTCCTAAATGTACCCATGAGGTCTCTGTATTGATCTTGGATGATAAACTCAAAGTTTTCCCTGACTTTTTCATCCTCTCTCAAATCCCAATCATAAAGAGTCTATAAAAATGAAAAACTATAAGTTAAAAGTGTAAATTTAAAACGAATGATGGTAAGATATACAAATAATCAATCCATGTTAAAATTGAAAACACTCGACTTAATATAACACCTTGAATTTAATCCAAATATGTTCGATCATTTCTTTAGGGATTTCTTTAAAGCTTATCCAAGAGCCTTCTATATATTGATCTATCAGCCGCCTAACCGCCCGCACCACATCATATCTCCCAAACCTACAATGTTGAAATAGGCCAGTAAGTATAAATATAACATACAAATTAACATAAATTTAGTTGTAAATTTAAGTGATCTAAAGACATACTTTTTCCCTATGTAAGAGATAAATCGACTCTGAGAGGTACCATAACCAGGTATGTCCGTGTTATTTGAACCATGTGGCATAGTGTGGCCATCTCCCTCATTGACACCCTCGTCACTGTAAAGTCCCCCATCTGGGTTCATCTGCTGTAATAACCCAAGATAACCACCCACTGGTTCTACATGAACAGGATCTACATCAGCCAATGGTGTCACTGTACTATGTCCAGGAATAGTAGGAATAAAGTCTTGTGATATAGGTATGCTGCTTTCACGACTAGTAGGAGGAGAATCATGTAATGCCAGTCTAGTTCCTCCATAACTAGTATTAGGGTACGCATGTAATGTTCGTCTGGGGCCTCCACTACTATTGGGAGTGGACTCATGTGATTGAGCTCTAGCGTCTCCACGACTAGGAGCAGACTCATATGGTGCATGTCTGCGATCTGCACGATGAGAAGTGTACTCATGTGATGTTTGTTTGCCCCCAGAATGTTACTGATGATTGCCCTTAGAACCTTGACGGCTAGGTTTACAAACAACTCCACGATTCGACATCAATATGCGCCCTGTGTTTCGTAAAACAATAATGGCTAGATAAATAACTAAAAATATTAAAATTGATAAAATAATAATGATCATACCATATGAACAATCACAAATAGTGTAAATAGTACATCAAACAGTGTTCCTAAGAATCAGATTCATCTTGATCTAAATCTAAAAGATTATAGTAAACCACTTCATCTTCATCATTGCCTGCTTCTTCCTCTTCTTCAACATCAAATTCTCCTGGTTCAGATTCTTCATCTTCATTGTCACTTACTTGCTGAGTTGCATTGGTATTTGTAACGAGGCATAGGCGTTCACTACTAGTTATTTCATCTGGTAACTCAAACCGTTTATCAATTTGAAAGATTCCTTCTCTCATGTCATCATTGTTTGCATCTTCATTTTGAGCTTCGGTGACTTCATATACACCTCGTGGTTTTATCTTGACAACTACCTCAAATCCTCTATATCCCTTGTTACCGCAGGGTATGGTGTGTAAAACACTTGTTCCGCTTGAGATGCTAAACAAAACGGGTCGTTAGTTTGAAGTCGTGACTTTGGTTTGACATCAACCATCTTATTTTTATTAAATACTACACTTTTTTCATTATCAAACCAAGTACAATTAAACATTACAATAGTTGAACGCCCACTGCCAAAATACTTAAGCTCTAGTATCTCATCCAGTAAGCCATAGTAGTCAGATTCTTCGGAGTTATACATCTCCCCTCTCACGCATAACCCATAATTACACGTCACACAGTGTCTCACCATAGCCCTGTGTGTGGAACTTATAACCATTTACGAAGTACCCATTATGACATATTGCTTTTTTTTTTATGGTTTACTTGCTAAAATCTCCAAATATTTAGCACTTCCATCAGATATCTACATTGAATAACATGTTGGAATAGTGTCTAAGGCTGCAACTATATTTGGTAAGTATTTGACCCGATTGAGCATGGTCCTTTTGGGTTGCCTTCACCATAGCAACTTGACAGGATGATTTATAATGAGAGAAGAGATATTATCAATATATTATGAGAATAATATAAGGAATAATAATATTGTTATTTGATTAATACAAGTCAGAAATTAATTAGGAATTAATTTGGTGATTTAAAGAGATTAATTGAATAAAGGGGCATAAACTGTCAATTGTGTGATAGTTGTATTTTGAGCAGTGACTCCTTAGGGATAAGGGGTGGACGGATTTTAGGGTTTGGATAAGCCTACAAATCTTCCAAAGTATTATCATAAGGAGATTGGATTGCTTAGAGCCTAAGTTATCCAATTAGGGTTTTAAGGGTGAAACCCTAGGATGCTCACTAGTATAAATACACCCATAAGGCTAAGAAAATCGGCACCCTTGGTATTGGAGAAACCCTTTCCGATTTTCTCACCCTTCCATCTCTATCAAATCATCCTTTTGCTAGTTGGTGTTTGTAAACCATTAGAGGAGTGACATTTGTGACTCTAAGCTCCAAGGACAAGAAGATTCAAGCAAGTAATTCAAGGTATTCTTTTAGATTCGATTTCTTATGTTATTATGCTAGATCTATCAATCAAAGTCTTGGATATATTGCATGTTCAATTAGAGAAACCTAGATCCAAGCATTAGGATTTGTATGTGCACATAGGAATGTTCTTATGGCCAAAACCCATCAGTGGTATCAGAGTCTTGATTGGTTTCTATTGAATTGATGCATTGGTTGCTTGATTGTTAATTTCAAAATTCGATTTTTGTCAATCTGCCTGATGAACTCGGGGAGTCCCATAGTGGACTCGGCGAGTAGGCCTCAACTCGACGAGTCCATTGTGGTACTCGACGAGTCCGAGCGTCAGGAGGAGTTAATTACGGGATTTCTTGCTGTTTATCTTAAGGAAACTTGCCTTTATCTTAATGAGTCAATATAAATCCGATTTCATCATATATATATATATATATATATATATATATATATATATATATATATATATATATATATATATATATATATATATATATATATATGAGTATATCCTTGACCTAATTCAAGATAATTACCAATTAATTGAATAATAATTTCCTTATGTGATAATTGATTAATTATTTTAATTAAATTGGTTAATTGTTTTGCAAGAAACATCAATTATGGATAATTATGAGATTAAATGGTTAATTTAAATTATTTGTTATTTGATCCTTTATGTTTTAAAAAGTTTAAAAGTAACCCTCAAGTTTTGAAATTTAGTTTTTGTGATTAAAAGTTTAATTTGGACAATTTAAATTTCAAACCCCAGAATTTTACAAGTTTAAAATTCAACCCTATACTTTATATGATTACAAGCTTAATATATATACATACATACATATATATATATATATATATATATATATATATATATATATATATATATATATATATGTGTGTGTGTGTATGTATGTATAATTAAAATGCTAGTCTTACTGTTAGTAGGCCTCATTGATGAAGCCGGTCTATAAGGTGGGTATAAGGTTGTTGCCTATAAAATGGTGCTTAATGGGTGTACACTCACACCCACCGCTTGCTTGATCGGTGGAAGGTCGTTAGTCGAACGGGTAGGATAGGGAAACTCTATCTCCTCGTTAAAAGTATAATATTAAATACAAAGTAACTATATCTTTTTTTTTTCAAAATTCCCAATCGTAGTTACTTTAGGAGAAGTGAATTGATGCAATCCCATGAAATTACACTTTGCACCCTTGCTAAGAAGTTAGTGGAGCGTGTGTGGTTTACCGGCACACTAATTGATTTTAAGCATAGGTTGCAAAGGGTGATTCATTGTTTATCATAGTTCGGTGGAGCGTGTGTGGTTTACCGGCACATTGAATAGGTGATTGTTACAATGAAGGCACCATGTAGATTTGCATGGTTATTCACACCCACTATGTGATCCTCGGCATCCCAGTCACAAACGAGAGGGACATATCAAGATTTAAACATGACATTGAAAATTTCAATGAATCTCATCGAAACCTAGGAATTCTCAATGCGTTTAAAACTTATAGGTAATTTTTTCATGGTGGAGAATTAGTGAATCGTCATTCACTTACCTTCAAATTGTTTGCATGTTGGATTACGGCATCCCTTTTCTAATATGTAAATAATGTTGTTTGATCCTAGCCCTAATTTTTCCTTATTGGGTGATAATTAGGGATTCAAATTCTAATCAATCTTTGTCCTTTCTAATTGTAGATGTCAAACGCGAACAATGCTGTTGCTAGTTCATTCACATTGATGAGCCTTTGCCAAAAGGTGACTTTCGATGGAACGAACTTTAGTGAATGGATAAGATACATTTGCACGATTGCTCGCTACGAGGACAAGGAGTATGTCCTCGATGAAAAGTTCGAAAAGATCAATCCAGAAATCGCTACTCCGGCTGAAATCACCGCGTTTGAAACTCATGAGCGTGATGCAATGAAGGTTCATTGCATCATGATAGCCACTATGAACTCCGAATTCCAAAAGTCCTATGAGGACATGTATCCGTACGAAATGCATCAAGACTTATTGGAGAGATACCATCAAAATGCAAGGCAGGAACGTTACGAGATGTCGAACGCGAACAACGCTGCTGCTAGTTCATTCACATTGATGAGCCTTTGCCAAAAGGTGACTTTCGATGGAATGAACTTTATCGAATGGATAAGATACATTCGCACGATTGCTCGCCACGAGGACAAGGAGTATGTCCTCGACGAAAAGCTCGAAAAGATCAATCCAGAAATCGCTACTCCGGCTGAAATCACCGCTTTTGAAACTCATAAGCGTGATGCAACGAAGGTTCATTGCATCATGATAGCCACTATGAACTCCGAATTCCAAAAGTCCTATGAGGACATGTATCCATACGAAATGCATCAAAACTTATTGGAGAGATACCATCAAAACGCAAGGCAGGAACGTTACGATATCTTTACTAACATGATCTGTAACGCCCAGGTTTTCAGGGCTAAGCATTTTTGTCAATGTAATAGTCTAGGTCAACTATTGTAACTCTTTTTGAAGTAATAAATATGAAATATTTGAGTATTATGTGAATTATGTGTGTTTATGTGTTTATTATTTAATTATAAATGTATAATTAATAAAGAATAAAAATGAGCGTCAAAATTAAAGTGTGAGATAATCCCGATATCTCTACATAAAGTTGTAGAATATGTTTCAAGGTTTCCGTACATATAAAGAATGCCGAAATCCGAGCTATAACGAAGAAGTTATGGCCCGACGAAGTTTTACGGCAAAACCGGCACGACACCGGGAGACGTAAATAGTGAATTTACGATAGAAGACTTTTTAGCCTTAGCAATCTAAAAAAAAGTCGTAGAATATGTTAAACTAAGAACATCGATAAAAAGAACGCCCAAATCTGACTTCGTATGAAGAAGTTATGATTTTTCTAAGATTCGGCTTAGCAGTGCACGGCCTGAAACTCGAATTTTAGTTCGAGCGGTTTTTGGCTTACGCAACGTAAATGAGAGTTGAAGATCTCATTAATAGGAAATCAACGGTAAAAAGACAGACAAAAACAGAGTCCGTATGTAGAAGTTATTAATTTTACGCAGACGTTTAACAGTATAATCTCCTTGTACTGTTAAATTTAAGATCGGTCGAGAATTAGCTGACGGTGTCAAAATGAAAGTTGTAGATCTTATTATTACCTACGCGTGGATATAAAGAACGTCAAAAACGGAGGTCGTATGTGAAAGTTACGGATTTTAGAAGTCGGAAGTGTGCTGTGCGAAAATGGGTGATGTGGCACAATCTTGGCCATTGCTTTCTCCCCAAGGCTTGCCACCAGATGGTGACATGTGGCACCAAGTTCAGCCACATTTCACCCTATAAATACCACCTCTCCCACCCTCATTTTCTTCACACCTTTCCCATTCTTTCTTCTCTTTACTCTCTCTCTCTCTCTAGAACCTCTCTCTAGCCCCGAAATCCCCCGAAAAGCCTAGGGAACCTCCCTAGCACGAGGCG